GGGAGCAAAAATGGCGAGGGAGGGCACGAGATGCCGACAAAGAAAGGAACATGCGATCTGCTTTGTGTTTCAGCATGCATTGTTTGCGTTCCAGCATTCAGCGGTATTAGGTCAGCCAGAAGAGCCAGAGTTCAGAGCACAAGAGGGAAGGCGAGTGGTGGCAGGCTGTAGTCTGGCGTCAGGTAAACCCTCAGCTAATCCTTTCTTAGAGCCACTTATGTGAAAGAGCATGTCTCCCTACTCCAGAGAAAAAGAGCACTGTGTAATTAAGCACCGGTGAACTCGACTGGCAGTTCAGTAGGCAGGCTTGGCTGGTCACAAGAAGGACCGGAGGGGGTAGGGTTTTAGCCCCACTAGGGGAGTAGCTCTTAAGTCACCTGCTGACCTGAAGTGCTTGGCGGCCTGGTGATGGGCGTGGGATAAGAGCTTAAGAACCCGTGAGCACTAAGTGAACTCACCACTGTGTGCCTCGCTGCCCGCCACGTTAACCACGTTGCATAACGCGCCCTTTATGGGGAAGCTACCAGCTCAAGGCTTTGCAAAAATACTAAGGATATTATTTTTATAAAAGAAGGGCATGACAGAGCATTACACCAGGAAGCTGAGTCCTGACGCTCTTTTTTGTTGTTCGGCTCTGCCACCTGGTGGCAAAGTGTATTTTTACTCATTGAGCTTTTATTTATTTTCAGTCAGCCCCCATCTTGCAAGTCTCCTTTGCACAAAAAAGGTGGCCGCCTCCTCCCCTGAATGTTTGTGCGAGTGACGTGAATGCACTTCGGAGTTTTTTTCCACCTATGCCTTATCTCTATGGGTTGTTCCAGATGTAAAAGACATTCAGCCTTCTTACAGTTTGGTAAAGTCTAAGCGAATACTTGTTTTTATTTCCCAAACTTGCCCGTTCCCCCCCCCCCCACACACACACACTATTACCCTAAGCACACTGGCTCATGCCAGGATCCTGGTGGTCCATCAGCTGTATCTACTGAAGTGGAAATGCATTAGGAGCTGTTGTGAGTGCATTACTGGGACCAGCTGAAAGTCAAATTCTAATGCAAAAGCCCACGAGCTAAAATAGCTACAGTGGCAGCAGAAGCCCAAGGGAGAGAAGTTTGCTAGCCAGAGAAGTGGGCAGGCATGCAGGCTAGAAAGGGCTGTTTGAGAGTAGGACGAATTTGGCTTCTATTCCTTGTCCGTGATGTTGAATTTCTGTGTACCCTGCAGCAAATTATTTCAGACTTCTTTTCCCCCACAGTGGTTTCTGTTTTTAGGTATTTTCGCTTGAGATGTCACAACACTCAGAAGGAGAAAGCACCCAAAAACATCCCAGCCCTAAGAGGAAAGGCCCAGAATCAGTTCTTTGTACTTCAGTGTTCCTCCATCCATAAATTCAAGAGACTCTTTCCTGTTTCTCTTGCCCTCTCTCCCACTCTCGTGAAGCTCACTTCATGCTTGGAAAGAGGTTTAGTGTTTGGATACAACATGCTATAGGCACAAGGATTATAGTTTCATAGTTGTTAGGGGCTGGAAGGGACCGTACAGATCATCGGGTCCAGCCCCGTGCACTTGGGCAGGAAAGACTGCTGGGATCAGATGAACTTATGATGATGAAATATTTCTTTTTTTTTTTAACTTGACTTTCTTAATGTGAGAAGAACCATCTATAGTAACTGAGAGCAATGCCAGCCCTACCCCATGTGAATAAAAAGCACTGGCAGGGAAAGGTAAGAGCTTTGGAACGAAACAGAAGTAGAAACCTTGCGTAAATTCCTCAGCGGTAGCAGGAGCTGAAGCTAGAATAGAAAGGCTGGAGTTAAAAATAGTTCACAAGCAAGCACTGCAGTGATTTAATTAAGAGAGAACAATGTTCTGAAGAAATAACTACAGGGAATTAAGGGCACAAGCACAATGGGGGGGAAAGCCTGCAAAATTACAAGCGAGGCTATAAACGTTGCAGTGACACTCCCCCAGCACAGGCTCATTTTGCAAGGAGCCCCCTTTCAAGACCGGGAGTGGTGCAGAGCTGGCCCGGGGAGCCCCATCATCTAATCTGCCCCTCCCTGCTGCTGGCCCTGGGTCTTGAGTTGAGCCACCCACCAGAGACAGCATGTGCTGGACCGTGCTCAGGGCCTGGACAGGCAGTGCCCACTCCTGGACCTGACGGGGCCCGTAGTCTGCACCCAGTGCCTGCTCTGGCTGGGTCAGGATTGCACTGCACATGGTGCCTGCTCCGGCTGGTCCAGGCCACAAGTCAGACCTGGGGTGAGTCCAGGACACACCGCCGCAGGTGGTGCCTGCTCCAGCTGGTCCAGGGCAGGTGCCACATGCAGCCCGGGTCCTGGACCAGCTGGAGCGGGCACTAGACCTGGCATCTGTGCATGGGCCTGCTCCAGCCCCCAGGCCGGCACCATTCATCCAGCCCACAGCCTGGCCCTGCACCACCACGAGCTGGCCGATGTGCGAGGCAGTTAGTGGCCCTGGCCCTGGCGGCTTCCCTCAGGCTCTGCTGGAAGGAGAAAGGGGAGTGTGGGGCTGATGCTGCCCTTCCCCAGGGTCTGGTGTGTGCCAGTGGCTCAGGCCATGATGGGCACCAATTACAACCTGGGCGGAGATGCTCACGAGCGGGGCTCAGCCATACCCGTTCTGGGCCAGGTGTGCCCTGGAGGAATCGAGGGGCATCGCTGGGCCACTAAGGGAGCCAGTCTAACTCCCCCTCCCAATGCCTCTGGGGGCCCTGGGGCGCCCACTCCTGTCCTCCCATAGCACAGGGAGCCAGCGAGCAGCCTCCTTTGCCCACTGTGGTGATGGGGGGAGAGGGGAGGGTCTAGTGCTGACCTGGTCCTGCCTGTGGTGGGGGTGGGAGGGCAGATGAAGCAGTTTTTTACAGGGTTTGAAGTCAGTGGCTCCCAGCCCTGGGCTCGTCTTGGACAGCCCTGGGGTGAGCTAGTGGCTCACAGGTGCAGGACACCCTTGGGCGATGCTCAGGGCACCCCAGTTGCTGTGGCACAGGGTTGAGACTCGTTGGCTGTAGTCGACTCCAACGAGGCAGCCCATGGCTTGGCTGACTAGCACCAGCAAGTGGCACGGTGTCAGCCTCACCCGGGTGCTGCCCTGCCCAGCCACGCCGGGTGGGAGTCGGCTGCGCAGCTACAACCAAACCGAGCAGCCTGCGCGTTGCTGAATCAGGATCAAGGCTCTTGGGCCGAGATATTCAAAAGGGGCCTTTTAGAAACCATGTTCCTGACTCTCGATTCGTCATGCCGGATGGGCAGCGCACAGCTCGCCCCAGCTGCCCGACGGGCCAAAGCATGCTGTGGGGATCAGCCAGAGCACTGAAATGCTCTTTATTAGAGGGGTTCAGTCACTAAAACAGGCGGCCGAAGACAGGGGCGGATTTGCTCTCAGGGCTGGTTTTGGGCTCAGTGCAAAGGCAAGTGGATGACACGAGGGCCCGTGCTTTGTCAGCTTAAGTCATCCACTGACATCTGGCCTCAGGAATTCATGAAACTTGAAATCCAGGCCCCTCTGGCCCTGGTTTTGAAAGCTTTAGTCCCAGCCTCCCACCAAGCCTTTTCCCCATCGCTGGTGTTTATTCCAAGATGCTTGGGCAGACTGTCTTGGTCGTGGAGCAACCACAAGCCACATTGACCGAACGACATAAAAAATGTGATTTATTGTGCCCAAAATGCAGGCCCCATGCTCTTTGCAAGGCAAGGGTAAGACAATGGAAGCCATTGCCCCAAAGACTGGAATCGTGTCCTTTTGTTTTTTAATGTCAAAGTAAGTGTGACAGCAACACCAGTTTGCCCCCAGTTACCCTTCCTCTACACTACCGGCACCTTCAGGCAGGCTCACGTTGCTGGCACGCGGCGGTCCAGGACAGAGCGTGCTATCCCAGCAAGAACTCGCTTGGCTGATGAGTCACCACCACTTCTCTTTCTCACACAGGGCCCGCTCAGGTTGGGCGTGGGTGTGGAGCCGTGCTCAAGTGGTCTCTTGGTTGCTAGATCCCAGCGCAGATAAGGAGATTCTCACAGCTGGAGAACAAGCCGTGCGGTTAACATCAAAGAAAGAGATCGGGAGGATGATTAGGGGAGGTACAAGTTACAGCGACACGGTTCTGACAGGTTTGGTTCAAGTTACGGCAGCCAGGAATCCTTCCCAAGGCTTGGGAGTCTCATGCCGTTGGGACGGCAGTACAGTTTCCCATGGAGTCAGGCCCTTGAACGTTCAATTTGTTCGAGGGTCTGAAAAACTCCGAATGACCTGGCCGCTTCATTGACGTGTTACCATCCAAAATAGACTTGGACCAAATCTTAAGAAAAAGCCGTTGCATATGCATGCACAGACCTGGCTTTGCTCAACTGTCACTGCCTTACAAACCACTGTAAACCTCATGCTTTCTAATAGCATACAGTCACTTTTACATGTTTGGAAACTGTTACAAAATAGAATTTAGTGTTTAGCACGAACAAATTTGTCTTTGCCACCCTTCACTCAAAACTGTTGTTGCATGTGCAGAAATTCAGCTACAATGCTGCATTATTCTAAGGGTTGTATGATTGCACGTCATTGTGTAAAAGTTCTTTTTAAGTTCAGAAAAATGCTTTTAGTCGCAGTGTTTGCCGAATACTGGTAGAGTCAGATTTTCTTATTTTCTTACAAAATTGCAATCAGGATGCACACAAGCGCTCTTTCCTGCCCAGGGCAGGGGGGTCAGACGCAATGATCTACGAAGGTCCCTTCCGACCCTAAAAATCTATTAAATCTATTAAACTGCAGCATTTTGGGAACGGCGACCTGGTTGCAAAGAGTAATTCTGGCCATCGCTGCAAAACATGTTGGTGTCTTTATATCTTAAATCGCTCGTAAGCCAATTAGATGATTAGATCAAGAGTATGTGATGCTCTTAAAATTGGTGCGTATAGGTTACGTCTCAGGCTAGCAGTTTTGTACCAGGGGCCATGACATTGCCTTTTGTAACATTCAGTGGCAAGAGCTGACAGTCTACAGTGATTTGCCATTGTATAGTGGCTTGATTGCTGTCTTGACTGCATGCACAGCTAACACAGGCTTACCTGATAGCAGTCGTCCAATTAATTAAGTATGCTGGTAGCAACCGTAGGTAATTAGCTAGTTTTTATGGGCAAAGATGCATATTTTATGCTGTGGGGCAAATTACTTGCATTTTGACATCTGAAAGGTTAACTTAACCCAAGTATAGGTGACAATTTCTGTTGTGCTGTTTAGCACTGCCATTGTCCTGCAGTTTGTATTCAGGCGAGAGACCTATTGGCTCCCACAGTTTGAGCGTGAGGATAGTAGTAGTAGGATTGGGTCCTACGTTGAACCTGCACCAACTGCAAAAGACTGTGCTACTTCATTTGGTGGCGTCTGTTGGAGCAGATTATTTTTAAAAAGTCTAAAAAAATTCCTATAAAATAGGATTTAGCCAAGAAGCTTACTTGCCAATCTGCTCCTTTTAAAGACTGACATGGTGTTCCTACAGTTAGACACAGAGGTAGCTGTTTTTGTTGGTTCAATTATCTTTCCTCTGCTTTTTTATTTTCAGTGCAGAAAATGTACGGAGAATTCCCTCCCCGTTGGCTTTTGTTTCCTCTCCCTCCCTGCATTTAGCACTTCCTGCATCTTGCTATTCTTCCAAGTGCTTTGGGCTCAAAATACACTGGTACAGGTCTTGTGATTTCTGCAAGCTGCTGCAGTTTTGAGCTACAATTAGATAAAATCTAGCTTTAGCTTTTGTGCGGGAAATGAGGAAGCCCGTTCTGCTTTAGTACTAAGGTTTCTCTCCTCTTCCCCCCCGCCCCTGCTGCCTGACCCCGTCGCCACGTTTTAAACATCCTCTACAGTGGAAGAAAATCAATGCTAAGAAGTGAGACTTAAACTTGCCAGTTGTTATGAACTATTTGGCAACTCCACCATTCCCTCATGAAGAAAACCAGGGCGTTCCAGACAACCGAGCGGCATCCCAGAAGGAAAATACTTGCGTCTCTTTGGCTTCTCCGAATTAAACTAGTTCTTGTTCATCAGCAACTTGGCTTGACAGCTTACACACACCCACATCACTGCCCAGCAGAGATGATTTTCCTGCTTTGGACACTAATGAACAGCTGCCTAGGCCTACCCCACCAGCAGCCATCGCAGCACCAAAATGCGCGCTGCCAGGGTCCACAATAGTCCCATGTGTCGAACCTTTATGTCTCACCAGAGAGGTCTCTTTTCTCCAGTATCATTTAAACACCCTGTCCCTCAGCCACCAAACAGCTCCTCAACTGCTCCAACTTTTCGGCCATTTTTCTTCACTGGAACTTTCCCATATAATATGCAAGGTAAAGCAGCATCGTTTTCCACAATACTGCAGCTTGTTGCCACATTGTTATTGCACATTTGTGTTATTAGCTGAGAGCTGAAGTGAGGGCGTGCTTCATGCTGCTCTACAACCATCTCCCCTCCACCCTTGTCTTGTAACGGAGGGAGAAGTGGGCTGCTGTGATGGCAGGGGGCAATTTAGCCCGTCTATAACACTCACACCCTCCTAAATAAAAAGATCGGCCTATTTCCGCCTCCCTCTCCAGCACTGTCAATTTAACGAAGTTTTTTCTCCTGAGATCTAATTTAAATCTACTTCAGTTTAAGCCTGTGCTTCACATCCTACTCAACACAGTCAACCTTATTAACCATTTCTGAACAATTTAAGGTTTTCTGGGCCTAAAGTTTCCAGGCTAAAAATTTCAATTTAAAATCTCAGTTCCTGTAACATAGGATGTGAAATGTAATGAGGCTTTGATAAACCAGTATAAAGTGTAACTTAGTAACAAAACACAGCTCCAGGTTTCCAAGTTGCTGTGTGCACCTCCTAATGTATTTCTGCTGCCCTCCCTGCTCTCCCCCCTGCGAAGTTCATTGCTGTTGAAATGAAACCCTTCATCAGCATTTTAAATCAAGTCCTCCTTGGGTACGCTGACATAAATCCAGAATTCCTCTGGTGAAATCCATGGAATTAAGTCTCAATTTACTGAGCAGACTGTGGACAATTACATGTTGTTGCAGCCTCTCAGAAATAGGACAAATATTGCAACTTCATGATGGTGCTCTGCAATAGGTAGTGTTTAGTTAGAAAAGCCGATTAAAAATGTGCTGTACGATAGAAACACTCCACTGTTACCTTAATCCTGAATTAAGTTGTGCACACAAGTTGCAACCTAGCAGACCCCAGCCAGAATTTCCAGTTTGCCCCTCGTATTCCCAATTCCAAACCGGGCTTTATTTGTTACTCGGCAGCAGCACTGCATAAGGAGGTCACTGATCTTTTTTAGACGCAGATTTACTATATATGCTTAATGCCATCATTGAACCGGTCTAGGCACTGTTGCTAGGTCTCGGTCTCCAATTCCAAAAAGACCCTTCATTCTGCAGGCCGCTCCATGCTTGCGCAAGCCCCATTGGAGGCAGTGGGGTTCCCTGCAGCCACAGACACGTGGCCTGGAGTGCCTTGTATGATGAAGGTACTAGCGTTCCTTTTAGATTAGCTTGCCGGAGGCTTGTGCAATGCCTTTGGTGGACAAAGCATCCACCTGGTAAAATGGTACTACTTTTCCCCCTTGAGGGCTGTCTATGGAGAAAGTTACACATGTGAACAGCCCCTAGAATCTCACTCAGCCCCTGGTTATTGCACCAGCAAAAATCTTGAGTTCAGATAATAAATAGAAATCCTCCCTCAGTTCCAGGGTGTGTTAAGTGATTTCCACTCCCCCCCCCCCCCCCCCCCCC